CCCGCCGCTGGGTCGCTTCCTCAATGGCGTCCTGGCCGCCTTCAACGACCTGCGCCTGTGCCGCCCCCTGGCGCTCGCCCAGAGCGTCACCGCCGACTTGCACCGCGCCCTCTGCCACGTAAGACAAACGCACTCGCGCCAAGTGGGGGGGAAGGCCACGAGGAGCCCAGATACCTTGGAACCTGCGGGCGGGGAAAGAGCGAGAGAAAACGGCCATCCGCTACCCCCGCCTTCTCTGGTTTCAATTGGACAAAAAGGGGAAAAAAAAACAATCTCACGGCACGCCACTTGAGCAAAGTTTCCCAAATGGTTGCGACGCGGCTTTGCGATGTGCCCAAAGTGCCCCCCCCGTCTCGCGGAAAGCCGTTTCATTGTTTTGACTGTTCCTGAAGTCACGGGCTTGGTATTACGGCCAAATGAACAGCGTGTTTTTTGCCGCGAGTGAGGAAGAGTCGCGCGAGTGACACCGGATGATTGACGAGCTCTCGGAGCACACGCTCGTCGTCCACCGGAGGGCGGCGTGACCAGCACGTGACCGCGCGACCCCGCGAACCTGCTTTGAGATTTTGGCCCCATCCTGACCTTTCACCCCAAAGTCGGACATCCGCGACGCTTTCCCGTGCAAAATCCGTCTTTTTTGGTGCGGCGCGTTGACGTCGTGTCGCCTTTTCCCATCAGGTGAGCGCTCAGCTGTCGGCCTTCCACCGCGCCGAGGATTCGGCGTTCAGCGACGGCGAGCGGCGGGTGTTTGCGCGCATGTGTCTCGTCTACGCCCGGGACCTGCTGCCCTTCCTGGACCGATGCCTGCAGATTCTCTTCCCCGCCGCGCAGATGGCGCTCGTCCTCGGTCAGAAGCCTTCGTGATCATGGTCTTTTTTTTTTTTCTCTAAAGCGTAGCGCCGCGCGCGTCGGCCGATGCCAATGGCGAGTACCGATACCACTTCTACTTTTCTCGATTTCCCCCAAAACGGTTGCCTGAAATGTCATCAGAAAATCAATATTTTGTGGAGAAGGCAATCAAATCAACTGAAATCATTATCCGGCGGCCAGAAAGACAAACGCGCGCTTTTCGAGGGAAAACGGCGACGCGCAAAGAACGACGTCGAACACCCGAGCGCCTCAAGCCGGAATTTCGCAACGGGAATGCGTTTGCGGCCGTTTCACGCGACCGCGGAGTCTCGGTCCGACTGCCGGCCGGCGCGCGGCTCGTCAACGCTTTTTCGAAGAAGGTCCAAGAGCGGCCAAAGTTGAGCGGCGCTCATCCCGCGCCCGTTGGGAACATCCCGCGGCGCGGTGAAGGGGCTAACCGGCAACAGGTGGCCGGCTAGCAAAGCGGGCGCTCCGTCCTTCGCCAAGTTAGCCAGGACACCGATTGCGTCTTTGCTTCCTGCCCAAACGCTCAGTGACGGTTGTTCAAAGAAAAGATGAGGTCACGCAGTCCCTTTCGGGAACGTGTCGCAGCCGTGCAATCCGAAGGTCCCGCGCGCATGTGGGACGCGCGACTAAGCCGGCATCGAACGCTCACGTCACCAAGATGGCGCGCATCCGACATGCCGTCAAATGCCACGAAACATGTCATGAACGTAGCGTACGCCGGACATGTGATCAACACAACTTGGGACGCCGGCGGAGCACGTCATGTACATGGCGACCGACGTCGCGTGTCGCACATGCGCCGAGCCCAATGTCAAACATTGCCGCAAGTAAAATAGCGCGAGTCGTATGGGTGACGCGTATGACTCATGTCACAAGGCTGAACTTTGCATTACTGTGTGCGCGTGCGTGTAGGTGTTCCGGCCTCTCACATGCTCAGCGGCGAGCGTTTGGGTCGCGTGGATGCGAAGCGGCTGCTGGAGCCGCTCCGTTTCTTGCTGCCCGAGGACGACGGAGCTCTGGCGGACATCGCCGCCGAGGCGAGCGGCGCGCCGTCGATGTCGGCGCCCCCCCGTGACGCGGCCGCGCGGCCGCCCCCCGGGGACGCGGCGCCGGCGATCGACAAAGACGCCGGAGAGATGGAGACGCTGTTGTCGTGGCAACCGGAACTCTGAGAACCCCACGCGACGATCGCCGCAGAATGCTGTCGGTCCAGTTCCGAGGTGGGTGTGGCCGAAACACCAAAGGCCTCCCTTGCGTTTCGTTTGCTTTTCCGAACAGCGGAGCCAATCAAATGCAATACAATACACGCTGATTGATACAGCGCCAAGCCAAATCGTAAACGCAACGTATAACAAGATGAAAGGGGGCCTGTGTGGCCTTTTCATCCAAACCAATTCACATCCGACTGCGAAGAAAAGGGCGACGTCACGCCGGCTTTTTGGAAACAAAAGGACTTCAATAAATGCAATTATTTCCGTCACCACATCTTTGTTGTCTGTACCGTTGCGTCAAACTTGCAATGGGAAAGAAAAAAAAAACTGAACAGCTTGCGCTCGTCTCAACTGGCCCGTGACGAAAGAAGAAGAAGAAAAAACGCGGGGGGGGGGGCCGTCGGTCGAGGTCATCGGGTCCAACTTTAGTGGTCAAAAGACGTCTTCCGCTGACCGATGAGCAGGAGCACATGGCCCCGGCAGGGGGCGCGCTTCCTGCGAGGTTGAGGTTTGGAATTCGGCAAGTGAAATGGGTTTTCGTGACGTCATAAGTCGGCGCCTCATTCAAGCCGCCAAGGAAAATTGAACCCAAAAAAAGGACGAGGGCGCTTCGAGAAGTCAAGCGTTTAGGTTTACCCCGCCCGCGTTGAGCTCACTCGGATCGTCCCGGTTCCGAAGACGGTCATTGGACTCGGGCTCACTTTATGATGCACTTTTCCTCGTCCGTCTCCGGTCCGCCTATCTTGTGGCCGCTCAAGGGGGCGCCACTTGATCACAACGCACGACTGAACGGGCGAACAAGTCGTTTGCCGCTCGACCGTAAATCGGAAAAAGGAGCAGAAGAAGAAGAAGACGACGACGACGACGACGACGAAGCAGACGGTGGACGCCGTTCTGGTTGCTGTGTGCGTGTGCTTGTTCATTTCCGCGTGGTCGCGGGCCTCGCCGTTGTCTCTCTCTCGCCCGCCTCGGTCGAGCATGGCGTACCAGTTGTACAGGAACACCACGCTGGGAAACAGCCTGCAGGAGAGCCTGGACGAGCTCATTCAGGTGAGCAGCAAGCGCGCTACCTGCTAATGCTACTTAGCTTCCGCTAGCCACACGCACACACACACACACACGACTCTTTGTGGACACACGTTGCCATCGACACGTTCGCTCGCTCGTTTAGCTCGGGAACAAGAGAGGGTCTCTCTCTCTCTCTCTTTTCACATTGGCGGACGGGCTCAGTTTGCGCTAGGCCGGCGCGTTGGTCGTGTCGGACGCGGAAAGCTGGCAAATGTGCGCCCCCCACCCCCACCTTCCCAACGACGGGCCCGTGATGTCTCAGGACAGCTCGCACAGCCCAACCCAGATGACGGCGGCCACTGCAGGTGACCTTCCTTGGTCTCCCCGTTGACCGGGTTCGGCCCCCTCGCACGTCTCGTTTTTGTTCTCCGGTCTAAAATGGGAAGCGCGGGGCTCAGCGAGCGCCTGGGAGAACGCATCCGTTCTGGCCTGTCGAGCCCGGCAACTTTTGGAGTGCGAGCCGTCCGCCCCTGTATGCTTGAAGGCGAAGCTGCTGTATTTGCAGCAAGTGCCGGACTCCTTCGGTGGCATGGACGGCAACGGGTTGAAGCCAACGCGCGTCGATTGCACCTCGTGCCATCCGCCGAACGATGTTTCTCACGGCCGTCACTATTCGCTGCTCGCGTAGATCCCACACAAAACAAAAAAATGCAAGATTAGCCAGGACTAAACATGCCGTGAACATTTGCGTTCACTTGTAAGCCGGCGGACATCGTTGATTTTTGGGGCTTAACCGCTACTGATCCAAAAACAATGAGCGCGAAAGCGAAATACGAAGCAAAGTGTGGATTTTGTCAACCGTTCACCCTACTGTACAGGAGACGGGAAATGTTTTCGCCCTCCCCCCACCGGGGGAGGCATCGAGGCAGGTGGAGCGCAGCTTGTCTGTCACTGTCGAGCTTGTCATGATGAACACATCCCCACAGATGGCGGCGGCGGCGGCGCGACAACGCTCGGAAACTTCAATGTCTGCGGACATCCTCCGTTGGGCCAACAAAAGTGGCAAATGAAGTTAGCGCGCATACAGGCGACATTTGAATACCGTTTGGATGCTTCTCAGTGAAACCCCGGCGCAAGAGAAGCATGTGCCAAGTTCGTGTGTGTTCGTCCGTCAGACGCAGCAGATCACACCCCAGTTGGCCCTGCAGGTTCTTCTTCAGTTTGACAAAGCCATCAACACAGCACTCGCCAACCGCGTACGCAACCGCGTCAACTTCAAGGTGAGTCCGCACTCCTCCTCTGTTTTTGCCTTGATGTCTTGGCCGTCGTCGCCATCCGCCGTCTTCCCGTCACGGCGTCGGGGTGACCCGACCGCCCAAGCGCTCGTGCCGTTTCCTTGCTCCGATGCAGACCCGGGTGCCGCCGAGCGACCGCGTCCGGCTTTGGCGACGCAAATGAGGTTTTACGCCGTCGGGATTTTGGGGTCGGATCGCAGGTGTACCGGCCCGAGCTGCCCGGCGCCGTCAAGGGACGTAACGGTGGACGCGGGACTTGACGGTTGACATGAATTCCAAAATGCGCCCAAAGACGAGAGTGGCCGCCGCGCTGCGACCGGACGGCCGTTACGCGAGCTCAAGCGGCATGGCCATTGATGCCCCGACATCGTTTATAAAAAAAAAAAAAGATTTTCAAGGCACCCTTTGCAATATTATCTCCTCTGCCGGTGCGTGAATCTTGAAAGGCAGCATAAACTGCTTGGAGGTCCACGGCGCCGCCGTGACCGCCGAGTGCCCGTTAGCCGCTCCCAGAGCAAGCATTCGGATGGCGCTGTGAGCGGCCCAATGCCGGAGAGAGCCGCGGACGGTGGGGGGGGGGCGTGCTGCGGCTATCGGAGCCAAAAGAACTCAGCCGCAGGGTTCGTTAAAAAAAGAGAGAAATAAAAAGGCAGATGTCGATCATCGCTAAAATGCCAAATATCGGCCCGGCCGATAATCGCGCTGTCGCTATTTCAGACGTGAAATGGTCGCTTTTGTTCCGTTTGCACACGGAGCGCACGGGCCGGCCGCGTGTTGCGTTTTGACGTTGCGCTTGTGTTGTCAGGGTTCGCTGAACACTTACCGCTTTTGCGATAACGTGTGGACGTTCGTGTTGAACGACGTGGAGTTCCGAGAAGTCACCGACCTCGTCAAGGTGGACAAGGTCAAGATTGTGGCATGCGACGGAAAGAGTAAGTTGTCACGCGCACGTGCTCAAAGTTTCTGGACTTGAAAATCGTGTTTCCAGGCCCTTAAAGTGAGTGAAAAAACATTGCGGTATCGTTTTGGAAGTTGCGGGGGGCCACGCACGCCTGTCTACATATGCGTATTTACTACTGAGTTATTTGGCTTTCAGGTGAATGTTCAAGACGAACCAAAACTGCATTTCCCGCTTTTCTTTCAGTCAATTGTTTGAGATGATGTCATCACCAGTCATCCTTCTACTTCAATGTCTTTACTTTCCTGATATACATGGAGCCTGATTCTTGTTTTTGTTTTTACATTTTTTTGAGAAAGATGACCTGAAGCCAAATATCCCAAACTTTGTGCGTGCGTGTGTGTAAAAAGTCATTGAATTTTTTTTTTTGCTCCAGATTCCGGCTCCAATGCGGCAGAATGACCACGCCCTCCACCAAGACCCTCAAGTGTACATATGCGTGTCATTCGTCAGTGCGTGTCAACTTGCAGCATTTTCTTTTAGGCTTGTTTTCTACCTTGATTAAACTTGAATCCAAAAAGTCCAAAGTCAACACTTATTTCTTTGTATTCGTGCTAATCATTGTTAGCTGTGTGGCCGTGCTTCAATTGGCCTCTTCGACCAAGTCGACTGGCACCAAATTTGTACACCGCCGAAGGAAATGAGACCCCGCGGTCAAAAAAAACCTCCCAAAGCTTTTTTATCCTCATCGTGTCACGACATGAAACGTGGAATCATTGAAAAACGTCCTTCGCGTCGTTCTTCTGTTTTGATTTGCGGAACGAGCGGCGCGCCACCCGGCGCGGAAGCTCCCGTGCATTTGAGGCGAGCGATACCCCTCCGGACCACGGGCGGCGCTACCGATCGGGCGTTGCTCATTCCAACGACGACGAAGCCGCCTCTCGCGACCGTCGCCGAGTCGCGATTGGAGCCGGCGCGGTCAGCCTTTGCACCCTTGCGCGCGGAAGACTTGGCGAGGCGACGCGGCCGAGTCGCGAGACGACTCCGAACACGTGCTCTCGGCGGAGTCCCGGCATTTGTCATTTGTGCCGAGACGAGACGAGACTCGCCCGGGCCGGCCTTCTCCTTGCAAACGGTCGGTGAGCGAGAAGAGGCTTTGCGCGCTCATACCTCGACTCGAGTTGTCTCTGACCTTTTGCGAAATACCAAATGACGTCGCTTTTAGTGTTTGTCACGTGCCTTAGCGATGGATACGCGTCGAGAATTCGAAACGTTGCCGTTGCACCCACCCCCGAGTTCCAAGCAGGAAGATGGAAGTCTCGCTGTCCTATTTACGCGGCGGCCATTTCTGAAGGCGACGATCAACAATTGGCGGGGCGGCGTGTCGGCGGCCCCGCTCTCCTTCCGCCGCCACGGTTCGGCGGGCCGACGCGAGCGGTTCTCCCGATTCGGACCGTTCCTCCGACTTGGGAGGATGGCGGACTCGCTCTCGGAGAGTAGAGCGGACCGTTGGGTCCCTGTCACCGAAGCGTTACTCCTTGAAAGGGGGAATCGTTTAAATCGAGGGACAAAGTCGGCGCAACAACAACAACAACAACCAAGACGCTTCATTTTGTCTTTCCGCGAGAGTCCAAGTTCACAATTGGACCGAAAAATAGGAGCCCGCGACCGAGCGGATGTCGAGGACGGAGCACATTGCACGTCGACTGGCTCGAGAGACGCGGCGAATGTCAGACGTGAACAAAACGCGCTCGAACGCGTCGATGGCTGAAGGCGGCGGCGGCGGGGGCACCGCAGGAAGTCGGTCGAGCTGCGACGTGGGCGCAAACGAGCAGAAAATGTGACGAGAGCGCACTCCGTGCGGTTGACAGTGAGTCACTCGAAACCAGGTCAGACTCTGTGACACTCGTCACTTCCTGTGCCGAGCGCCGACTCTCGCTCCGGCGGCTGCACTCGCAACGGCCGGCGACACGGATGGCGATGGCGCGGCGATTCGAGTCACGTTGCGCGCCAACCGGTCAAAGTGGGGCACGCGGGCTCGTCTCGGGCTCCGCGTGCGCTCGTCTCGCTCTTCTCCCGTCCGACGGCCGTCGCCGTTACTGACGGCCAACCCCATCGACTTTATTGCGCGTTGGTTGCCCGACGTGTCGGAAAAGGTCGGGACGACGCTCAAAACCCCCCGTTTGGAACTTCTTACGCGCGTCGGGAGCGGCGGCGCACCTCGCCCAGTGGAACGTCAACAGGAAGTCGGCCGCCGCGAGATGCGCCAGTCAGCAGCTTTTGTCTGCGGGGGCTCCGGAAGCCACCGTCCTTTCATCCCGAAGCGGAACCCGGCGAGATCAAACGCAAACGCTGAACGAGTTCAAACGCTGACCTAGAAGCTTTCATGTGTGCCAAAGTGGGTCGGGCGTCACGCTTCGTCACGCCGGCCGGTCGGCCCGTGCGGTTTACCGAGGAAGATCAAAGATGACATCAGCACCGGCCAATCGGGATAAAGCCGCCGAGGAACGCCGCGCTCTCGTCATTCGCTCGCCTCGACCTCCGGCGGCACCCGAGGAGCCTCCCAAGCGAAGAACGCAAGATTCCGCCTGGCCGCGACGATGCTTTCCATGCCGAACGCCGCCGTTGCCACGGTAAGACGCGCCGGTCGGTCGCGAGAACCGTTCCGAAGACCGCCGCCTTCGTGCCGAAAGGGCTCGGGAGTTGGCGACGTAGCTGCCGAGACACGTTTGAGCCGACCGGACGCGTGTTTTGGCTTCGGCCTGGATTCGGAGTCACGTTTTAGCATCGCGATGATGACGTTTCAGAACAATAATCGTCAAACGTTGGGTCTGTGAAGCGCCCTTTCGACAAGCTCAAAGACGGCGGTAGCGAGTTCCGAAGCGGCCGAAAGCTCTCCGCGCTCTCCGCCCCGCCGACGACGGGCGATCCGGAGCGGCAGAAGCTTTGCGAGGGAGAGCGCGGATCGGAGGGAGGGGACGAGCCCGCTCGCCCGCATGGCGCCAAAGGAGGGATTGCCCGCCGGCCGCACACTTGCCCTTTTTGGACGGCGTCGATTCGCGAGCGAGCGGCAGAATTTGAGCTTGACGGCGCTCGGCGAAGACTCGGGTGAGCCGGCCGTGGGATCCCTCCGCCTGTTCCAGGTCGAGGTCGAGGTCATCTTTCTTGTCAAATAATGCTCGATGTACGGCACGCGGCATCGATGACGTTTCTTCTTCATCGATCCTCAGCGTTCGCTCGCGTGCCGTCGGAGCGGCGGCTTGCGGGCCGCCGCCGGCTTTTTCCACGTCCTCTCGTCTTCGCTTTGGACCGCGTGTGGCTCGCGGGCCCGAGTCCAAATGAAATGAACTAGTCGGCGGACGTGCTGCACTCACAGTACAAGAGATTTCTGCGGCGCTCGAATGACTTTGAAACGAACGTCGGCCCCGTCCGGCTTACGTGTGCCCCCTCCCGCCATCGATCGATCCCGAGCGTCGTATGAGCCAAATCGGTGCCGACGATGACCCAAAAAATGTGCCGGTTGATGAGGGTTCTTTGATTTGCTGACCGCTGATGCGTTCAGGTCGCGATGACGACGATGGTGGCGTTGCTGTCGGGGGGCGCGCCCGGCGCGGGGGCAGACGGCCGATCCGAAGGCCGGTCGGCGCTCCGCGAGTCCCGGACGGCGGAGATCCAGACGGTGTCCCTCGAGCTCAACCCCGACATCCTGCGTCCCCCCGAAACCTTCCGACCGCTGCAGAACCACTCCATCTCACCCTGGACCTACAAGTAGGAAAACGCGCCCGCCCGCACCCGCGCTCGCACGGCGGGAGACGTTGGTTGACATTTGTGACGCCGCTTCTTCCCCGCGCCGGCCAGCGTGTCGCAGGACGCGTGGGTGTTACCGCCGGTGTCGGAGGCCCGC